TGGAGGTGGTGGAGGGTGAGTGGGTGGGCTGTGTTGTTGGGTGATGGTGTGAAAGCAGGAGGTCACAGCCAGATCAAAAGGAGACACATCTGCAGCCTGAGATACCATCATCTTCTCCCTTTTCCCTCCCCCCTCAACGGACAAAAAAAATTAAAACAAAAAACAAAAAAAATCTGCCACCGTATGTTTCCTCCCCCCAGAAATCGAATACCTTACCAGGGGTGACCGCATCAACCTGCACACGCACGTTCACACACAAGCTCACACTGCGGCCAGTCAGTCTCTCTGTCCAGGAGAAAGTGTTTGCTTTTTTTTTTTTTTCGGAGTTGTTTTTTTTTTTTTTTGTCTTTTTTTTCTCTCTTCTGGGGTTTTCTTCTTTTATTGTAGGGGAAGGGGAGGACTTTTTCATTGTGTGTGGTGTGTTGTTGTTGTTTTTAAATGGGAACAGAGAGGGGGGGAGAGGGTTGATAGTAAGGGAGTATATTGGGGAGGGGAGGAGGGTGTTTAGTAAGGGGAATACCACGATGTTGTTCGCCCTCGGCCCCTGGAAAAGAGAGAGAAAAAGAGGGTGAGTTTTTTTCTGTTTGGCTTAAGAAGACGGACACCAATTTCCTGGTGTGATATATAAATATATAAATGTGTGTGTGAGTGTGTGTGTGAGACTGTGGGCAGAGAACGGGTCAGAATTTCAGTCCTGGAGGTAAACTGAACGGGGGAAAGAGTATATATTTATAATATATATATATAAACAATGTGTTCACAGATCAGTGAATACCATGTTAACGGTATTGTGCCTTTGATCAATCTGGAAGAATAGACTCGTAGTGGTGAAAGGAAGCTGAAAGCAGCTTCGGTCAGGAGAGGAAAAGTGTTTAATTTCCAGATGTGTTGGGATAAAACGATTAGTGAGTGGCCGTGAGGGGACAGCAAAGGCACTCTCTCGCCCTCTTTCTCTCTCTCTGTGTGTCTCTCAGTGCGAGAGCCGCCTCTGGGGTCACTGTGGGGGAAAGACCTTGAGGACAAACAGCACCACACATATACCCCCAGCAACACACACATAGACACACACACACAAACGGGACTCACAACTCAGATCCTGACACATACAAAAGCCAGCAAGCCTCTCGCACCTCCTCACATGTACACGCAGCAGCGCTCAAACAAACACAAATAAATAAAAATAAAAAGAGGCCGCGCCGCGACTGAACGTCCAGCGGTCGGCGGGTTAGATGCTGAGGTCAGGCTGCAGTCATGAACCTTCGTTTCTGGGAGTGAACGCTGTAGAGGAGGAGGGTGTGTGTGTGTGTGTGTGTGTGTGTGTGTGTTGAGCGGTGGTTCATGTACATGCACGGACACACACACACACACACACACACAGCAGCACAGAAACACAACAGAGAGGTTCGTCCACATCACGGCTACAGTCTGGCTCACAATCTTGTCGTTGCCCCGCACCGACTTGGGAAGATGACACCAGTGATGTTAATGGATGTAGCACCAGAGGCTGATTCCTTAAGAGCATGTTAGCATGAGCGATCGTCTCTGCCCCCTCAGTCAGGGCGGACGGCTTTCAGGTACATCTTTGGCTTTCTCCTCCTTTAATACTATTAAATTCTGGCAGATGAGACTCTAGAACGCCTGCCAAAGCCTCGTTAGAAAAACAACTTCTTCTAAGACAAAAGCCAATCGTAACACACTCACACACACACATCACTTGGCCTGTAGCTCCTCGCTCACAGCCAGGCGTTGTGAAATCTTCCCAAGCTCGCGACAGGTCGACGAAAAGATTATGAACCGACCACAAGTTTGTGTTCACTGTGGATTCTTTCCCCCCACAGCGAGACAAGGCACCGGTGGATTATTTGGTTCAGATCGCGGCCTGATTCTGTTTAACTGCGGCGGTCTTAAATAGAGCGCTGATGAATTCCTGATGCAGCGACCAGACAGCTCCTCTGCACGGAGCGATCGAGGCCAGCTCAAGTGGAACGACTCTTTGCATGCTAATCTCTGTGGGTGATTTTTTTTACACATTAACCTCAGATAACGAGGAGACACAAAACGAACTTATCTGTGACGGACCAAAGTGTGTTTTCGGTGATTTTGAGTAAAATCGTTGCAGTCAAATTACTGACAGCGACCACAACAATCATCTGGCTACGGTCCGGCTGCTGATGTGGACAATTTCTGTTATTTTTTTTAGATTAATTCACTGGGTTTTTGCTTTTCTGTCTTCACAAAACACTTCACACACACTAACTAATGCTTACAGGCTCTTCCCAAACTACCCATTCGGATCAGCACTTTAAACTCCTGGACTCTCGATTTAATATCAAAACCCCCTCAGCTTCTCCCAAACTCTTTGTGTGCCTTGTCCTTCAACGCGGGCCAAATCCCAGTGAGTAAACTGGCAGGGTTAGGGTTTCTTGGTATGTGTGGGAGTGGCTCGAGTCAGCACACAGACTGATTAGAGAGATTCTGACCTTGAGGTTCAGGCGCTTTCTCACACAAAGGAATGATGTGAGATGTAACCCTTTCTTGTGGGTGTTTAGGACGGCCTTGCTGAAACGGGGATTTATCATCCAAATACCCGAAATGAAACAAGAGAAACGCTCGATTAAACAGACCAAAGAGGGCCTTGTCAGGAGAACTGATTAATTGTTGCAGCGTCTCTATTCGGGAACATGTTCGACATTAAGTATTTAACACGAGCCGAACCCCAGATGCTATCAGAATCTCTCGGTCTTAAATCTCAGTGCGTGTGCGAGGAAGAGGCAGGAGGAGGAAGCTGAGCAACGCATTTAGCAAAAACACCGTCTCTCTCAGCTTCAGCAGAAAAGAGAAGAAAACAAGATAGCTGCACAGACAGAGCTCCACCACGGGGCCTCTAGGAGTCTCCTTTGAGTTTCTAGCTACAGAAACTAACCAGAGCTTACATAAAGAGGCAGCGGCTAGTGCTGTGAATCATACCTACAACAACCTCTCATTAGTTTGGCATCATCTGATTTAAAGAAAG